CAATGGTGAGCAAACAAACTCCAGAAAAAGAATAGTTGAATATCTAACAGATGTCTCATTTTGTTTCATGATCTCATTCAGATTACCTTTGGAAGCACCCAGTATTAATCATTTTGCATGAAGGCCTTTTTCACCTAAGCCTTCCAGTATTGTTTAAAATCAACCTTTTTCTTGAGTGAGATTGTACTTTGTGCAATCTCACAAAATATTTTTTAATGTGCTGTTTCTTTGGAAAGGTTTTCTTAAAACTATTGTTTGTATAAACATATTTCTTGTTTACATTATTGAAGTTTTAATGTTTTGGAGGATTAAATTGTTTTGGTACTGGTAATATTAGAAATATATTACAATAAAAATAAAGAATGTAAATTCTAGCAAATTGCCCTTTGTTTGGGTGCAAAACAAATAAATCCAAAATAAGCAACTGAAAAAAAGATATGTGACCAGCAGCAATCGTTTCATTTTTTAAAAAATATTGTTTCCTAAACATCTTTGTGCAATATGGAACATAGTGATAATTTAAAAGCTTCTACTAGTTGTTACATTTCCTGCTGTATTTTAGTATGAACTATTCTTTTATATACAATCTATCACTTGTTAAGGTGTTCACCACCATATTTTGATCAAATTTATAAAGAATCTCTTCTTATAGAAATAAAAAATTGTATAGGCTTATATGTATGCATATTGTGGTACAGTTTATATAATTTAAAGCACTTTGCATAAATGTCTGTTTCAACAGTATTGTCCTTAGATATGAGATACTGCTACATTAATTTTCTTTCAGAATAATCTATTGCTACATTTTCGACTGTATCATTACTATTAGGCATATTTTAGCTTATCCTTCTGCTTAATATGAATGTGTGATAATATAATATATAAAATTGACATAAATGGCAATAAAGAAATCCATGGACATAAGCTCCAATAGTGAAACTGAATTCCATAATTTTAAATTATTAATAGTTATAATTGGTTCAAAGAGGATATGGTTTATATTTCCTGCTCTGTTTTAAGTAGCTGTGTTGTTTGACTTCTTTGTGATTTTGCATTTGTAGACCCCTTCCAGTGAGAGGACTGAAATTCCAACCCAGCATTGGAAGGGATGTTACAAACCCATGTTGTGTAGTTATGCTATAGGAACTATCTTATATAGGGTTATAGTATAGAATTGCAACTTTAAACATACATATGTGAAAGCAATTTCCATTGAAATAAGTGGGATTTATTTCCAAATAAATAACATCAAAAACATTTAGGAATGACTCTGGTTAAAAGTTAACTTTATGAAACAGTATTATTATTATTATGTCAGGTTTGTACTTTACCATTTTATGGAGAACCACTGCTCCTACAAAATGTGAGTAGATTAAAAATGTGCTTAATTAAATCAGAACATTTTCATTTAGAATATTCCATTCAATAATTACAGAACTTGGGAAGCTGCCAAAATTCTGTAATCTAATCTACTTTAAATAAACAACCAAATGACATTTCCTGAAGATATAAAATGGTAAATATGGGTGAAATATTTTTGCATTGTCTAGCAGAATCTGCTAGCATCAGCTGTAATTTAGTAGAAAATAATAAGAAACACGTACCTTTGTTAGAATAAAAATACTTGTATAGTAGTTTCAATCAAACATTATTCTGCACGTACAATGGCTATTTTAAAAGCTATGCATAAAATGGAATGGAAGTAGAAGTAGAAGTAGAAGTAGAAGTAGAATGGAATGGAATGGAATGGAATGGAATGGAATAGAATAGAATAGAATAGAATAGAATAGAATAGAATAGAATAGAATCAAAACCTGATATTTTTTAGGACCATTGCAGGCAAGGTGGATATATTTCTTTTTGAGACTTCATCCTAGATGATTTCAGGTGCAGGCTAGATCAGGTCCATGGGCTGTAGGTTGCTGACCTATGATATAAAGGAAAATGGCTTGGTTATTTTTATATTACTTCTCACACACCATCAGTGCTTGAAATTTAAATGGTGCTGAAGAAAGATCCTCTTTTAGTATAGCAATAGCAATACCAATAGCACTTAGATATATATTGCTTCATAGTTCTTTATAGCACTTTCTAAGTGGTTCAGCATATTGCCACCAACAATCTGGGTCCTCATTTTACTGACCTTGGAAGGACTGAAGGCCAAGTCAACCTGGAGCCAGTGAGAAACAAATTGCTGGCAGTTGGCAGAATTAGCCTGCAATACAGCATTCTAACTACTGTGCCACCATGATTCTATCATGTCCTATTTGCGGTTGGTAATCATAATTGCTCACTGATGAGTTTCCTATAGAAATATAGTGTGATTGTTTTCCATTGTCTTCTCCACCATTGTTACATTTTTGTACGAATATATTACACCACTGCCATTGTATATGTCATTACAACATTCTAAACAAAACACATATGTGGTTGCTACTGTAGAACAACCACCTTTACCAGAGGTCCACTTATTTATTGGCTACACAAGTCAGGTGATCACAGCTTTGTCCTATATGCAATGCAGTATTTATAACATTTCTGTCAAATCCACAACATTATTCACACATTACTGCTAGCATATCCATTTATTATCCATGGTTGCTTATTCAACAAAGTTGAGATCAGAACTATCCATTGTATCCAACATTTACCAACTGCTACAATAAAGCTTGGGCCAATATTCTTTTCAAAAAATTCCAAAGATGTACCTAACACTGGTTGAATGTCTTATGCTCAAGTGTCAGGCTCTAGATCAGTGGTGGCTGAGAGTATTTAGAATACTCTAAATACCCTACTCTAAAATTTAGAATACCCCATTAATTTCAGTGGTAGAACTAATGCATCCATGATCATTTAGAAAGTCTAGGAAGTTTCTTTCAATATAGACCTTCTGCATTTACAAATATTATTTCAATTGTATCATAAGCTTTTAGTTTTTAGACATGGAACCAATTTCAAGTGATTCATACTTTGCTACAGCTAAAGAAATATATAATAATGCTATTTTTAAAGAAAATTTTATATAGCAGTTAAATGTAACTGCTATTTAATTTGACATTTTGAACACTGTTCCACTGGTAGGTAATTTTTAGCTTTATGGAAAAGGCAAGGTTATGAAATGCAACTGGTGTAGGAAGGAACTTGTATCTGGCTAACATTTTTAGGGAAAATACACCAGAAAAATTTGTTTTTAAAAGAATATTAAGCTTCTTTTTTGCGGTTTCCCAGAACAATTTTGAAATTGGGAGCATACACATTGTCCACGTGTGTGTGAGTATACATGTGTGTGTGTGCATTATGTGTGTATTCATGTACAAAGTGGAAAACTATGCCGCCAAATTCAAAATAATAATTGGGTACTAGTGATGGCTGGGATTCCAGATAAATAAGTTTAGGATCCATCTCTGGTCAAGATTCAAGTTGTTTGCTCCTTTTATGAGAAAAATGTGGGAAACTAAGGAAAACAAGAAATCTGGAGGATATATATATATATATATATATATATATATATATATATATATATATTATATAAACATATATCTGGAGGATATATGTGGAGGATATATATATATTAATATGAACATATTACTTTAATACGAAATCAAGATGATTTAGTCAGATTTACTATATTGTATACATTCATAATTCAGCCTCATATTAGCCAGCACTGGCCATTTGAATTAGAGATTGAAGAATTATACTCTTCTGAAAGCTTTGGCTCTATCCTAATTGTATTTAGTGAAATGCAGTTAAACATGGACAATAAAATCTATCATAATACAGTTTGTGCCTTGATACTATTATATCTGGATCAACTTATCAAAGCAAATACTAGAAACTGAAAGGTATAGGAAGAAATTCAATACATATATGCTGTGCTTACAGACTAAAGATTGTGGTAGTACCATTTCATGTGGTAACAGAATTTTTCCTTCTATCTTACCCCATAATGATTCATTTAAACCATCTCCATTGTTATAGATCTTCTGTATTTATCATCCAAGTATCCTCTTTGTTTTCACTTAACTGTATAATTTGGTCAGTATGTGAGCTATGAATAGGCAAATAGAAGCCAAAGGCAAAGCAAAATAATAAACTTAACATATTTTAACTTCAGTATGTCTAGCACAGTTGGTCCTGTGAGTCTCCCAATGGGCAGCAGGATGCTTGCTGGCTGCCTGAAGAAAAAAAGCCTAGAAATAGTGGATTGGGATTTCACTGAACTAGGGCTGCATAAAAATCTTGGTTTATGTAGGAAGAACCTGGCTAAAGAGAAATACATGCATGCATGCATACATACATACATACATACATATAAAAAGTGTTTTTTCTGTCGAAGCACCTGGTCTACCCCAATATGGGAGGGAGCATACTGCTTCCCTTTCACCTTTCAGCTCCAATCCAGGAACCCTCAAGTAGTCGCATTCACGACAAACCATTTTATACCAAATTTATATTTTGTTGATAAAGAAATAAAGGGAACTAGTATATATCTATTTCAAGCTATTTAGCTCTCATGAGCTAGCCATACCCTTACTCAAATCTGAGTAAGGGTATGGCTAGCTGATGAGAGCTAAATAGCTTGAAATAGATCTATTCTAGTCTCCCTTTATTTCTTTATCAGTGAATATAAATTTGGTGTATGTATGTATGTATGTATGTATGTATGTATGTATGTATGTATGTAATATATATATATATATATATATATATATATATATATATATATATAATCTTCTGATACTGATCTAAAACTATTTCTGCTTTTAATAGTTAAAGTAAAGTGGCGTTATAAAATATTGTGGTACATCATGTAGATCACAGCTTCATTTGTTTCATATCCACTAACCTACAGGAAGTCTTGCACTAGACTCAAATGCCTTACAAATCATATGATTACATGGTTACTCATTCCAAGTAGGGGAGATATGTTTTCATGCAGTGGGAGCAGGTGGTGGGAAGTTGTTTTGATGAGGTTAAAAAGCTCCTCCTACCATTCCCCAAGCAGCAGCCTAATCTGCGTCAGCAGTAATTGTGAGCTTTGCATGGCTTTTACAACGAGGGTGAGTGCAAACGATACATCAATATGTGAATCTCAAGCCGAGACTTAAATGTTCTCTCTAAGTGGCTGCTCTTTCCAGGACTAAAGGTTAACTTGTTCATTCTCTGTGGAGAGATATTTTGGGGGGAGTGGGGGATAAGAATGGAACAGTCTTGTTTCATATTTTGTCCTACCTAAAGAGGGTGGATTTGTTCAGATTCTACACACCCACACCCACACCCACACTGGATTATTTTGCTGGTCAGACTTCTGTGTAGCCAAGAGAAAAGAGAGAGAATCTGTCGTCTGTATAGGAGGTTTTAATGAGCAGCTGCGCCCCTGGGGACTGCAAGCTGGAGTCGAAGGCTGCTGCTTTCCGGTCTCTTGCCATTTCTTCACTTGTTCCCCTGCCTCTATTTTTTTCCCAACGGGCCTAAGGAAAGCAAAAAAGGGAACTGTCCAAGGTGCTAGAATGCTGGCTGCTCAGCTACTGAATGCAAATGGATTGCAGGAAAAGTGAAGCCTCAGATTACTGCTCAAAGCCGAAGGTAGGCTTGCTCTTTGTTTGAGAATCCCTGATTAATCAACAACAGCATCAACAGAAAGGGAGAGAGAGAGAGAGAGAGACAGCGAGAAGGCGGAGGGGGGGCAGAGGGGAAGAGCGCAAGAAAGACTGTTTTACAACCTTCCGTGTTTAGATGGCAACAAGGACTGCTTTTCCAACTGCACGAAGCCATTTGGATACAATGCTTTCTATCCATTCTTTTTCTTTCTCTTGGTCTCCACAGCATCCACTCCAATGAGGCACCTTAACCCCCTCTCTATCATCACATATGCTGGTGCTGTAATCTTCTGTGTGGTGAAGTGGGCAAAAAACCCTCCCATTTCATTTCTTTTGGACTTCAAAGCAGGGTACCACTGGTGCCCCCTGATACCTTAACTGTCCTTTCTTTCAAGGTGGATTTAAGATGCCAGATCCTCTCTCTTCCCAATACTGTATTTTTGAAAGTCAAACTTTAAAAGCCTTTTTTTAATCCTGTATGGAGAAGACCTGTATTTTGAATTGAACATACTGACTTCTGGAGATGCAGAATGCTACAATTTGGATATCTTTGCCAAGGAGATCTCAAGCACTTTAACTGAAGAAAAACTGAGCCAGTTTGCAAAATCTGTTGTTGTTGTTTTTAATGGTGCTGAAATATCCCTTCAGACTGCACTGAGCTAAATCATAAGAAAGGGCTTTTACAGATAAAAGTCACCTTTAATTATTGCACTTAGCAGTCCCCCAAGGACTTTAATCTTGGTATGTATATATATGTATGCATGTATGCATGCACGTACATTATTCATCCATCCATCTATCCATCTATCCATCCATCCATTTATTTAAAACAACGTCCAAGCATGCTAATGAAATGAAATGCTGTAAAAGATGTATATCAGCAAAAATTGATTTATTTACAGTCTAGAAGTATCTAATGAAAAACTTTCTATGTTTTAAAAATATTAATTAAACAGCAGATAAACTAAAATGTAATGTATTGGGATTTTTTTTCTTCTTTTTCTGTGCATTAGACTGTCTTATAAGAAAATTTGGTGGGTGGAGTGTTCGTTTGTAAAAGCCATGCTAAATTATTAAAATGTTTTTTCCTATTTTCCTGAAACACACTGCAAATATCTTTTATAGCTATATTAATTATTTCTTATATAAAGCATACCGTTAATATTTCACATTTTAAATTTCTTTCTCTTAGACAAAATATCTTCACTTTACCTTGTTCTCTTCTCTACATGCCCCTCCAAGAACATGATGACATATACTTAAGCAAATATGATACATTTTGAACCTAACCATGTAGCCCTAGTTATCTATAGATAAGCTTAATTTGTCAGTTGTGGTTGCTTCTGGCTGTTGAGACTCTAGTTATATGTTATTTCTTGTTAGGAAATTGCATTTGGGATTAAGACACATATGAAAAGGCATCATGGCATAAATGTCTTACCATTGACACATAAACCACCATAATAATAGTATCAGTGATTCACGTTCTTCAAGCCATGTGGACTATGGCCTGCAGGAAAGAGAATCTATTGTGCAAATTACACCCATCCTTAATATATGCAGTTTGTAAAGTTCTTTATTGCCAATAATTTCACACAAGTGGCTTCTTTTAGCTGTAAAGCGAGCTTTTCTTCATTCTCTGTGAAGTCCTGTTGGGAAAAAAATACACATATATGTAAATGAACATATGCAAACACAACCACATAAGCATGCCCATACATATACCAGTGCACTTACTCTTACATGTACATATACATCTATATAATAAATTAATGCAACAGTGCATAGAAAGTTTCTAGGTAGGTTGAACTTACCAAGACTTTGCAGAAAAGTTTAGACTTTGCTCTATCTTTGTCATTATCAGTAATTTTAGGACTATATAAAAAACCTAAATAATATTTCTCAGCATGTCTACCATGTGGAAAGGAAGTAATTTCCTTTCAAAAATTAAGTCCACTTAAAAATTAACAAGGAAGGATCCAGACACAATATGAGAGTTTCATTGACAATGTGCCTATCCGAGAAATTATATGTCTTCTAAAAGCCATTGCATAAAAGGCAGCAACTTAAAGGAGAGGAGAATCTAGAGTGCGATACACCTAAAGTGGTGCTGCAGTCAGCAGTTTGGTATAAACAGAATGTGGTCTGTCTGTATTGCACTTAAATGTCTTGTAACCATTTAAATCATTCAAACAGAACCCAAATGGTACAACTGGAATGGAATGCATCTGCTATTTGATGATGTCATTGTTCCATTAGAATTTATGTGCTGAGAAATGAACATATCAAAGAGAGGATAATGGGGAATCTGCATGCTGACTTGTGTAAGCTTGAAAACCTCTTCCTTTTTACATTCTTCCATTTAGCTGGGAAAAAAATACAATTGTAATTCAAGACAGGGATATAAGTGATAGGAAATTAATTTCTTACTTCTGGAATAGGTTATCTTTTAACAACCTGTCCTATCCCTTTGTCCACATTTTGTTTTCTTTCCAGCACAGCACAGCTCAAAACAGATATACAAATTGCATCACAGTAACCACTTGAGATTCTACACAAGGAACTTCATGTGGCTAACCTTATGGGTCAAGAGGCTTCTTAGGCTGACTAGGGAATTTTCCATGCAAATCTAAAGAAACTCCAAATAAGGATTTTCTTAAGTGTGCTGAAAATGGCTGGGGGTCATGCAGAGAACTGTTTTAACAAATGAGCATCATTCTACAAAATTTGCATGAGAGACAATTTGATGTAGAGATTATAATGCTGAATTAATACTGGGGAAGGTTCAGAATCAGTTCCCAACTGGGCCATGAAACTTATTAGATGACTCTGACTTGTACATCATTTGCAACCTGAACTACCTTCCAGAGGTATAATAAGATAAATTAGAAGATGTACAGTATATATATTTTTATATAGCATCTTGAAGATGCCTCTTCCTCCACAATGCTGTTAATAGAGAGGACAAATGTAAATTTACTTCCTTTTGTTTACAAAGAATTTCCTTCAACAGTGAAATTCTTGGGAAAGAAGACATTGAGATGGGTCACACATTAGTTCTCTAATCTGTTTGTTTATGTGCTATTTATCATAATCTTTTCAGATAATTTCACTCCATCCCTTGACACTTCCCCATTCAATAAATCATCAAAATTTTATGATTTAGCCTTAGTATCTCCAACTCATCACTCTCTAAATTGGGATTGTAATTCACAGAATTACCAAGAAAGAAATTCTTGGAATTTAATTAGCAATTCATCCAGAAACTACTAAATGGTGGAAAGCTGACTTAACCAGTGCAGCTATATGAGATCAGGTATAATACACATATTTTTACATATATGTTCTTCACCATCATGTCATAGCCTTAGAAGAACTGGAACATTGTTGTTTAATTAGTCTGACATAAGTCATGGGTTTCCCCTTTCCCCTTTTACTGAGTGATTTTAGCATCTGAGTTCTTCAGGTTTTTTTATTATATTAAGTCATCACTTTTTAGGAAATCAGAGACACTTGATTGAAAAACTGAATCAATTATTTATTTTCATTTACTGAAATTGCACATGCATTGTTATCATCCCATTGCAGTTAGTCACGGGAGTATTCACAGGCCAAAAAAGGAATGTATCACTCAGTGACCTTGTTGCGTAAGATGAATAAATCAACAGGAAAAATAAAAAGTAAAAAGACACCTTCTGAGAACTTCATTTCTTCTCCGCAGAAAACCTTTTGCCCAGAATGATTCTAAGGCATTTCTTCCTATCACAGCACTCCCATCATGACCGTAAAGCAAGAGATGAAGGAAAAGTAGTAAAAAAATTTTAAACCATGCTGTGTTTTAAAGAAAACTGTGACCTCCATACATAAACTTCTGACTGGTAGCAGAGTTAGATGGCTGAATATTTTCTGTAGTCATCAAATGACAAGCTTGTATATGCTGCATGACATTCACTCTTAAATTGTTGATATTTAGGGTTGAATTGATAACTGATTCATCATTTATATGTCCAATAGCATGAAGAAGTGGTGAGTACAATTTGATTTGTAGGAAAAGTGGGTTAATCAAGAAGCTAGAATCGACAGGGCAATCCTATGTTCTGCCACAATGAAGAGAAAAAGTATCCTGCAATTCTAAAATGCAGACATTTTCTTAAAAAAAAAAAACTCATGATTGAACATATTTAATAGACATGAAATGTAGTTCCGGAAATAAGAAATTTTGTGAGGAAAAGTGAAAAATGCCCTGCTTGTAGGTAAAGACTTAAAAGCTTATTTTTAGAGAAATTATTATTTCTCTGTATATTTTGTATTGTATAAATATTGTATATTTCCCTTGCATGCAGTAGGTTTAAAACAGTGTAAAAGACCAAGAACAATAATAATAGATAAGTTGAAAAACACATAACCTACTTAAATGTTAATAAAGTCAAATGTTATTAATACAAGCAGCTCAGTGACAATCTGCTATGTACAGGCAATGAAATCTTGAAATCAAATTACTAAAGGCTAAATACAGTAATATTTCCTAGAATATAAAGGATTATAACATAGCAAAGTGATTACATGATGAAGCTTGGGGTTCTCATTCACTTCAAATACTGGTTGAAGTTATACAAAGCTCAGTTTAGTGTTTTTAATATAATACTGTTCATAGCTCAAAAGTTCATAATACTGATTTACCTTAAAGAATGTAAGAATGACTGAGACAATATGAAAACTTTGGAAAACTGACTTCTGTGTTAATATTATGTATTATTTAGTGCCACTCTATGTTAGCTTCATTGGTGTTGAAGAAAATATGGCTTTCCTTAATATGTATTGCAAGTTACATTTGGATTTAGGCTGCTTAGTTCAAAATTTGTACAGTACAAACTACGCCAGTTTGGGGTAGTGGTTAAGGGATCAGGCTAGAAACTAGAAGACCATGAATTTTAGTCTCATATTAGGCATAGAACCAGCTGGTGACTTTGAGACAATCCACTTTCACTCAGTCTTAAGAAGGAGGCAATGGAAACCACTTCTGAAAAACCTTGCCAAGAAAACTGCAGGGATCTGTAGAGGCAATGTCTGAGAATCATGTGTGATTGAATGGAAGAACGATAACAACATTATAAATTACTGCTGTCTCTTTAAGATTCAAACTCATCATCCTATATTCTATAGCTCTAGTCTTTTCCCATTCTTCCTTTCACCTATTTTCCCTCACCATCAAACAAAAATTAATAAAGGAGACAAGGAAATTTGAATTGTATAATGTTTTTAGTAAAACTATACATTACAGTTTGTGTAAATCATTCAAAAGAGATGTTGTGTACATAGCACCTTTTCTTGAATTGTGAAAGCAGCAATTCTTTTTCCAGCTTAATTTAGCTCTCTTTACGTGTAGCTATTCAGGCACCTCACTTTCATGAAAATGTTTGTTAAGGAAAGTGACTAGTGTACCACAGAAATATTAGGCTTTGTATTTAATGGTAAAAATGTGCTTTGGATTGTATGGATGAAACCCCTGGATAAGATTTCAGGTATATCTCATGTACTCCAAAGCAAATTTTGCTTTGAACCTGAAGTATTGCATATGTTCGAATACCTAGTGCTGCGTAATGGGGTGAGCTTCCGTTACTTGTCCCAGCTTCTGACAACCTAGCACTTCGAAAGCATGTAAAAAATGCAAGTAGAAAAATAGGGACCACCTTCGGTGGGAAGGTAACAGTATTCTGTGCGCCCTTTGGCGTTGAGTCATGCTGGCCACATGACCACGGAGACGCCTTCAGACAGTGCTGGGTCTTTGGCTTTGAAATGGAGTTGAGCACTGCCCCTTAGAGTCGGGAGCAACTAGCACATATGTGTGAGGGGGAATCTTTACCTTTACCTTTTATGAATGATAATTTGGATCTGCAATCTTAACTATTTGAAATCCAGAACAATTAAAGCAAAGAGACACATAATCAATGCAGAAATTAAAAACAAACAAGGTTGCTGATCCTTTCTTAGGACTAGGGTAAATGACCCTTCCTAATTTATAGTTTATTTTATTCCCATTGGTTTAAATTCAGCATGCTTGAATTTAATTTATCTCAAAGTTTTCTTACTTTATAGTTAGTATACCTGAATATTTCTTTGGTATTTCTTTGGTAGCGTTTTCCAATTTCACTGTTGGAATTGGCAGACAGTGCAAATGCTGCTATTGTTTTCTGCTACTTGGTTTTTCATATCTTTAAGGCTTCTTTTGTGGTCCAAACCTTTCAGCCTGAAAAAGCCAATGAAAAAAGTACAGTAATGTCTTTCCTTGGGATTTAACTGAACTCTGACAAGCCTAGCAAGGCCACAGATTGGTGGTGAGATGATTTAGAATGAAATACAGCATATTCATGCATCCTATGGTTTCTTTCATAAGGACTACACCATATCCCACCTGTGAGAATTTCACTGAAATTATCTTCTTCAACAGGCAGTTCAAAAATAAATTTCTCTTTCACCAAATTATTGAGAACAGGTAGAGCAAAAAACTGTTGGGGGGTGGTTTCTTTTTCTTTTTGCATGGGTGGAACTATTGTAAGATTTGCCTTTTACTCAGGCACTTTGATTTAGTCCTATCTTTGCCATATCAAATTCTGAAATGTTTTTGAATATAATTTGTTGATTTTCAGCAGCGTGGGATATGGTGAAAAGGCAAACAACCCTTCTAACTTCATGTTTTGCTTCACTACTAAGCATATAGGCCTCAGTATTGTTGTTTGTTGTCAAAAGTAAGAAATGAACTCATACTGAGGTGTTCTCCAAGCATCTAAAATTAAATATGATTATAATGGCTGAATGTAATTAGAAGCTGTAATACTTTTTATATGAGAGTATTATCAATACGTTCCCTTGAGGGTTGCTTTTAAAACTTGTTTTCTAAATAAAGATGAAATAAATAAACTCCAAAGCAATCTGGTAGCACTTTAGAAATGCCTCTACTATTGCCAAAGCTTGCATGGATCACAATCAACTTCAATCAGATGCATGGAATTTATCTTAAGCAAAGGAACATATGGATTTGGTGTGAATGCTTCCTTGGATGACAGCCAAGTTTTGTACATTAATCCATATAGCACTTAGGTGAGATGGACAGTGTAGAAATATGATAAATACAAGAAAATGTAAATAAAAGAATAAATAAAACCATGAAATTTGTCTCTGTGTATGTGTGTTTATATGAAACAGGTCACAACATTAGAAAATGCTTGTTGTAAATTTAGACCTTATAAAAGTTCTAATTAAATCAGTTGTATTTGATGATAAAAAAGAAAAATAATAAATTTCAGTAAACAAATTTCTGAAATTTCCAGTATTTTCCATCAAGCAAAGTGGGAGAGAATAGAAAGGAAGAAAAAAAAGCTAATTCGGTATATAGCAATAAAGCTCCTACTTGATGCAATTCATTTAAAACAGAGCTCCCACAGCTAACAGCAGCCCAAATTGGAGCACGCTCAAACAAAAAGTTCGAAAGTTTTAAATTCTATTAGGTCAGTGACACAAAGAAGCATGGAATGGATAATCCTTATTTTTTAAAATACAAAATCCAACAATAACTCAAACCGTTTTCAGCCTTAAATAAAATTACATTTGAAAAACCCGACAAATTTTGAATTGTTCACTGATTTAACAATGGACAGAGAACCAGTGAAAAAAATGTATGTGTGCATGAACTTTTTTCCTTTTGTCAACCCACAGGAAGTATTTCCCACAAGATGATGAATTCTAATCAGGAGGAGGTCACTTTGGGCACTTTTCTCCAGTACATTGAAGATATGGGCCTGAAGGCCTATGATGGCTTAGTTATACAGAATGCATCTGACATTGCTCGGGAGAATGATCGCATGAGAAATGAAACCAACCTGGCTTACTTGAAAGAAAAGAATGAAAAGCGCCGGAAACAAGAAGAAGCAATAAAACGGTAAGGATTGGTCTTTTGCATAAAATTAGGAACTATGGCTTTGTTAAAGGTCTGTAGCATACAAATGACACATGGTCTGGAAGAACAGTTGTAGATTTAATGTGCAGCTGTAAAAATTGGTTTACTTATTTCAGTGGATTTTTAGAATAGAAATCAGGAAGTAGGTTTATGAGATGGGTAGTCTAAAGACCAGCTAAGATTAAATTAGATAGATAAATCATGAAATTGGTAGCCCAATAAATCATCTTTGTTATCTTTGTTTGGAACAGTTTTGTACTGACATATTACAAAAATGTAATGCTGCTGTGGGCAAATGGATTAGGTCACTGATAGAAGGGCGTCTCTTTGTCCAACTTAATTCACACTTCTTTTTTATGCAGCTGAGGATTGTAGGGCTATGTAGTGTGTCACTATAATGTTTCTGGATAGAGGCACTAGAACTTGGATCTATTATGTTAGCTATTTTGTCTCTGCTTTTTCCCTTCCTTAGTCAGAGAAAAACAATATAGTACTGTTGTAATTTGGTGATTTGCTATTGTGTTTTGACAATATGAATGTGAGGGATTCCAGGGCAAGCAAAAAGCAGAACTGGGGGTAGGTAGCTAGTGGGCTATGGGTTCTCTATCTTTGTCACTGAATGACATGGAAGAAGGGTATGTTTAGCTTTTCTGCAAGAAAACTATCTGCTCAATCGTGTCGACAATTATTATAATTGTATATGGTTTAGCTCCAATTTAGAGTCTTGAAAGTGTACAAACAAATGCTGGCTATATCGGATTCAGGACTGCCAGCAGAAAGTCACCTTTGTCTATCAGCAATATCATGTATCATAGGGAGATCTTGGCTTTCAAACACCATGTTCGTTGTGATTTCAAGGTATACCTCTGCATCGAAAACACAGCCGTTGTTCAAATATGAGTGCATATGGTCACATTTCACCATTTCCCCAGCTGAAGCTGCAAGGCTTCTTAGGAGATGAGCAAGACTTTGCCTCATTACTGTATATTATTATTATTATTATTTGTTAATTTTCTGGATGGGGAGGGGAGAATTCTCTTATCTAATAGGTATATAAGTGTCATATTTCTAATTAGCATGCTGGGGTTCTCATCATAAAATTTAGAAAAGGGCAATGACAACAATTAGATCAATTTTAAATTTAAGATGAAATAAAATTAAAAGAAATGAATAAAGTATAGCTTATTCTACATATGTTTCAGAATTTCCCATTCTTTCTCCTGATTAATATAGCCTTTGTGCTCAGAATACTGTTTGTGTACATTATCATGTTATTGAATAAGTTGACTTATTATTGAATGTTAATTTATTAATTTGTTTGGAAAAATATAGAAATCTGGTCAAAAAAATCTTTTCTCTCCAAAAGATAGGAAACTTTCCAAAGTAGACACCTATTCCTTCAGAGGAATCCCTTCAAAGATAGGCTGAGCATCTCCTCCTAGACTGATGTTCAGTTTTCCCATATTGTCTGGATTCAACATAGATTCCAGTGATTAAAAACTGAGGTGATCAGTTCCAAAGATCTGGTGCATTTTTTTCCTGTATTCAAGTATAATATTCTCAAATATGTAATAGATATAATAAAGTCTCCAACCATGTACATTGCATATAATCTTCAGTTATGTTCAGCTGTGTGGGATTTAAATGTTTATTAATTCTAATTTTACATTTTTTAATATAAAGTTTATTGTCATTGTACGTATATACACAGTGTACCCATACAATGAAATTCACATAACACCCAGAGACCAAGCCCAACACACATGACAATCCCCAGACACAGCCTCACTCACCCATATGCAGGTTTACCAGAGCCTTTGTGCTCTTGACATATTTCCAAAATAGCCTTCAATGCCAAAAAAAGTGTTCATGTTTATCTTTTAGAAGTTATGAATAATAGCAACCATAACTTTTATAAATATTTAAGCCCAAAAGAAATCTTCTTGAAGAGATTTTCTTGTTTTTGTTATTTACAAATACACACACATAGATACACCACCCATAGGGGCTAGAAGGGAATATTATATATTTAGAACGAAAGATAAAACCTAATACAAATTAAGAAAAAGTAAGAAAAAGTAAAGAAAAAGAAAGAAATAAAAGAGAAAACTAAAAGTGCAAAAAAAAATTGGGGGGGGGGGAGAAAGTAACAGAAAAATAGAGAAGAAAGAAGAATACAAATAAATAGCTTCTGATCTTTTTTATAGCAGTTATAAGTACAATGATATAATTAGCTTTTACTCTGTAGTTATAACTCCTTTCTATAATCTATTATGCTGTATAATCATAAAAAACATAGATATCGAGTTCATTTTTTTCCCTATCTCATGCAAAAAGTCTATAAGGAGTTTCCAATCAACAATAAGCAGACATTGTCTTTTCTCTGATCAAAGAAGTCAATTTAGCAACGTCAGCAAGTTCCATGGTCTCAAGAGAGCTTGTCTTTTTGAGTGCTTGATGGATTAGAAACAAAACAGTGAAATAGGCTATCTCCAGACACTGCTGTCTGGTGCGCCATTATCGTTGTTTAGTATCCTACAGCCATGCGAGGAACAAAATTAGAAAACTGAACTTTGGCCTTAGTGGAGAGAGAGAGGCAACCTTAAGGCAAGAATGTGTGTGAGTGCGAGTGAGTCTGTATGTCTGCCTTTTGATTTCTCATTAAAACTGTTCTTTTCAATGTGGCAGAAGATAAACAAATTATTAGGTATATGAGGTATAGTCATATGTAATAATATGTAATTCATTGTTAGTGAGCAAATTGAAATTGAAATGAAATATGATCAATCTTAAATTTTGAAGTAACCATCTTCTTCTACCTCTCATTTTTTGAGTATGGTTACTAGTATGCCACACTAAGGATATCCCCATGATTTCCTTGATATTTTTATTTATTTTATTTAAAGCATTTATATAGCTGCGAATCTGATATCAAACTTTACATAGCTCCCAATGAACAATTAGAACAACATCACTAAAGTAACATAGTATATACATATAGTTCTGTATATAAATCATTATGCTCATTAGATTGCTATATATACACATGGATGTTTAAGGATTTCAATAACTTAAATATAAACCGCTGAGTACCCAAAATGCAATCACGTGACCCAGGAGATGCTGCTGTTGGAAGTTCAATATCTGGGACTTAAGATCTTTTTTGGGATCAGTGGTAACTTTGAATGGTCACTAAATCAAGGATTACCTGTAATGTTTCTTTCAGATATAAAGAGAAATAACAAGTCTTAAAGGTCAACAGAGATTGCTAAGTGTGTTTGTGAAATACAAGAAAACAGTTACAGATTGTATCGATAACATATCTGATAAAAGTCAAGTAAGGAAATTGAAATAATTGTCTTCATGTTCCAAATCTCAGTTTCTTGGTTTCATGTCTGTCTACTTGTGAAGACTATGATAGAGTAGAATCTAAGTATAGGGACCTCTTGGTTGCTATATTGAGATTTGGCATTGATGGATTGTTGGAGATCCATCATCTAGTAGACTCCATTGCTAATGTTTCAGAGCAACCTACCGGTATATCATGTTACAACTGCCTTCTTCAAATACTGTAAGTGACAAAAAGACAAAATTAGAGAATGAAAACTCCTCTTGAGGTTTACTCTTTTTAGATTGTTTTAGGAATTAGGCCTACGGAAGAAAGCAAATGTAGTAGCAATGGGAAGATATTAAAATACATATCAATATGAGCGATGTAGTTGTAACTGATGTTTTTTTAATGATGGAACAAGAATTTTTACAATGTTGGATCAAGGCTTGCAAAAGACCATCTAAATTGCTTCAGCCGCAAAATGGACCATCACTGGTCCTCTGAGAATAAGGCCTGGGAGTTGAATGGCTGTATTTGTTGTGACGTGCATATCAGGCTTGATGTATTACCTGATGTGAAATGGAGGAACTTGCGTTTCTAGGACTTTTCAATATCTAACAGGCCCAGGAAGAAATGACTATTGAAAAAATTATTTCCCCAACACATTGTCCTTCATATCAACCTTCCCTCCCTCCCTCCCTCCTTCCTTCCTTCCTCACTCACTCTCTCATTCATTCTCTCCTTCTCTCCCTCTTTCCCTTTCTCTTAAAGTCACTTCCCTACTAAACTGAAGTGGAAAAAGATTTATTGAGATAACCATAAAGGAAGTAGTTTGAAAAAGAATGACTATATTTTGTCTAAAATGCATAGCCGCGAATGAAAAACGACCATAAATTAGGCAGATCATTAAGCATTGAGGTCTGCAGCAGTTCAAAGTCAACATTAACATGGATTTTGTGGACTGAATACAGATGTAATTTTTAGGCGTTGTTAGTATCAGATGCCTTGGCTTTCCAAAACAAAAACAAAAACAAAGAAAAATTATAACTTTATATTTATATGCAAAATTTCTAAATGTGTTCTGCATCATTTACAGGTGAAGTAACTTAGTTGTCAAAAGCTTGACTGTATTTTGCCTATTAATGTAAAAAAAGCACCATACATTCAAAATATTGAAAGAAAAAAATAGTATTTTTCATTTGTCGATCAGGTCTTATCACTATGCTTCCATGTACATCCTTACAATGCTGTTCTTGGTAGGTCTTGAAATAATTTCTACCTTAATATAATTTGAAACAGAAATTAACATAACATTCTGAACCGTTTTATGATTCCTGTATGTAACATTGCTATAATGGCTAATTATAATTATAGTACCATTACACATGCCCATTCTAAAGATATTGTTTTATTTGTGTTTATATCTTATAAAGTGCAATGAAATAATACATAACCAATAATTTACCATATTTTTTGGACTATAAGATGGTTTGGACTATAAGACGCACCTAGCTTTTGGAGAGGAAAAATTCAAAGAGGGAAAAATCTGCCTCTGCCTCCCAGCAATTTACCTCCCTGCAGCAAACAGCAAACAGCCTGGTCAGTTTCAGCATAGCCTGATTTAGCACAAGCAGCTGATTGGCGGTTGAAT